AGAGCCAACCACATACAGAGGAAGCTGAGGTGCAGGAGACAAGAGGAATACATTTTAAAAATACATTGGGAAAGAGGTCATAAGGAGTGTGACGACCCCTTATCTGGGGAGGCCTGGTTTCACTTTAAAGTGTTCTTTTTATTTTGTTCAACTGGGTAGGTTAGGTTGCCACCAGGAAATTTTAGGCTTTCCAAACCTTTATACTTTCTTTTGGCTATCACTGGGTAGGTAGGTCGAGGTTTTAGGCTTTCATGAGGGTCTATGTGTTTCCTGAGAAATTAGAAATTATTTCTTTCAGAGCTGGCAGACTTAAATAAAAGAAGATTTATTGAAACAGTTCATAGATTAAAGTGTAGAACAATGTAACCAGTAATGTGAATAATTTTAACAATTTCGTTGTGTCTCCCACAAGATCTGCTACCTTTCTGACAGGGATTTTTCAAGTAACTTTGTAACTCATTACTCAGGGTCATATAGGTTTCCTATTTCACTCCAGTCTGTCACTCAGACTTTTTATTTTTCTCTTTAACTTTACTTTCTTGTTTCCTTATACATTCAACTTTTCTTCATACACAGAACTTAACTCTTGTATCCCACACAATACTCTCTCTCTCTCAGACTTCAGAACTCTAACTTAACAACTGTCTTTATCAACTGTCAACCTCTAACTGTCACTCCTGAAGGACATACCCATTCATCCACTCAGAAACCCTTTCTAACACCCCTCCCCCTCTCTGTCAATCACCAATCACACCACACTTGTCTCTTCAAGCACTCTAGTCCATCACACGCCAAGCAACCAAACTTTTAAAGAGATACACACACACACATATAAAACAAGGAATCATTACAAGGAGAAAAAAACTAACCCTGAAGTGGCAGCTGTCACTGAAATGTTATTTTAATCTGCACAGCCAATCAGATCTCCAATAGGTAATCAGAAGCCCATCTGGCCACACCCACTTTTTAAAAACACTTGTCAGGTGCCAGGAAAGGTACTAGTGGGCACCACAGTGCCCCCAGGCACCCCGTTGGGGACCCCCTGCCATAGATCATAACTCTCCAATTGTACTTGCAAAGCATCCTGTATTGTTCAATACGTTTTTATTTTACCCAAGGTGGGTGTTCAGATGGCTTTTTAAAAATCAAACTGTCTCCAAGATAATATTCTAACATGGTTCCAATCAAGTAAGACCATTTAAGCATGTGGTGATTCCTGTGTGCACACAGCAGGGCCTCCATTCTGCAAACCACTTCCAAGACAGCAGCCTTCTTCCTGAAGGCTATATGACAAATTACATTGGACACCCCCAAGTTTTAAAAGCACCTGGCAAGACAGCAGGGTGAAAGGTGAGAGAGAGCTTTTGGGGAGGCAAAACAAGCAGCCTGCCTTGCTTCTCTGGGTTTTGGCCAATTCTCTCTTCATATTCCTTACAGGGATCACAGAGGAGAAGGAGAAGCTAGAAGTAACTTCAGATGTTGGCATTTCTCCACAATTGGTTAGAGAAAGGGCTCCCAGTGCTGATCCTTAGTGGGTCATCCCACATGAAGAATCAGACTGTCTGAACATTCCAAAGGATAAGCACTCAGTTCTAATCTTTTTTAGAACTATTGTGGTAATAGGGGTGGGTGGGAAAGAACAGGAAGGCAAAAAAAAAAAAAAGAGGGTCACTGCTGACAACACACACCACCGTATTAAAAGCAGCAATCAAGTTTCATTTACGTCAAATGGTGCCCTGAGTTTCAATGTGCTATTATTTGCTGCAAGTCACGGTTAGGAACCTGACTGCTGACAAAATGGGAATCCCAGTACTGCCAGATGCAGTCTATTTCTTCATACTGGATGCTGTGAGCACACAACAGGGGAAAGTCATCATTTTCATCCCCTGCTTGTGAATTTCCCAGAAGCCTCTGGCTAGCCGGGGTTGGAAACAGAATGGTGGGCCTTTGAGCTGACCCAGCAGCGATCTTCTCATGTTTATTCATTTCTACTAAGAATTTTTTTTATCTCGCTCACCACCTCACAAAAAGGCTCTCATAGTGACTGGCAGAAAATTAAAACATACCATAATAAAATAAAAGTAACATGATAAAAACCACGAAAAAGAAACAAGCTGTTCAACAAAATGAAAGCTATAAAGCAGAGGGAAATGACACGCTGTTCAAACCAGCCCCAACAAAATAATGGCAGCAGCTGCCTAATCTGCCACCAGCTTTTCTGAAAAGAAAATTTTTCACTGCCAGCCTTACAACTCGTAAAAAGCCAGGAAGATTTATTTATTCTAAATGCACCTATCACCTTTGTGTTATTGGAGATGTGCCTCCAGAGGTAGAGAGTTCTATAGAGAGGAAGAAGCCACACAAAAGACTCTCAAGGAGCCTCACAAAAGGTTTTTCATCCTGATGTAATGTTTGTGACTGAAGACAAGGGGTGGGGGTTTTTTTAGTAACTTCCTGGGATACTTTTGTTTGCTCATCTATAAAGCTCCCTCCGTTTTACTAAACCATTCCTTTTATCTGAGTTACTTCCAATTGCTATTTTAACAGTAATTCAAAAATTGCCAAGAGTTGACTCTTTTGTCAGCCAGTGCCAAAAGACAACGGGAGTAACCAAGTTCCTGGAAATGAGCCTCCAAATGCAGAATTCTTCCCAAAAGAAAACCGCTCCTGATTGTGCATATCTTGTCCCATGGGCATCTCTCTAAGTACTCATAGTCCAAATCTTATTCTCTTCCTCCTGCTCTACCCAACAATTACCAAGCCTTGATCATCTTTCAGCTACAATTCCAACATTAACCATGAAAATCTGCTCCCAGATTTGGTTGATTTATTTCTTGGTTATGTCCCCAAATCTGGCGGAACCGGATGAAGGCTCAACTGTCAGGTCTGTGAGTTATTGTGACCTGAAATAGTTCTGGTAACTAGTAGTTTCAGGGGCTGTTGTTGAGTGGAGGTGTGAAATGATCACAAGGTATGATTTCCTTTTGCTAAACTGGATCCTACAACTTCCTTTCACCAAAACAAAGTCAGAGTCCAGTGGCACCTTTTTAAGTTTAAGTTTAATTCTGGGTCTGAGCTTTTGTGTTCATGCACACTTCTTCAGATACATACATTCAGATAAATTCCTTTCACCAAGCTTTTCTCCAACAGAGAAAGGCTGCCTTTAACAAAGAAAGGCCTTTGTTCATCAGAGGAAGCCTTTCCCCACCAGAAAAGTCATTCTCCATTGGAGGATGTCTTTCTCCATTGAAGGAAGACTTAGTAGAAGAAAGTCATAGAATCCAAATCAAATCAAATACCTTTATTGGCATACAATATTAGAAGCAATTCCCAATATTAATACAATCCAATAGAAATTATGAAATAGATAATCGTGGTAAAACCATTCCAAGGATATATCAGGCCTATAACATAACTCAAGTTATCACAAGATAGATTTGGCCATACAAAAATGCCTGAATCGTAAAATAAATTTGAATTCTAAACTTAAAATTGAGTTTTTTAAAATTATAAATTAAGACTCATTAATCTGATCAGGGTCATTCTTCCGTTTTATAAAACCATGAAGAAACTTGGCGGTCAGTTCAATGATCTCCGGAAGTCATAGAATCCAGCTTAGCAGAACACTGCCTTATACTGCCTTATACTGAATCAGCCCATGGTCCATCAAGGTAAGTATTGTCTACTCAAATTTGTAGTGGGACTTTCTGTGTGGCAAGCAGATGCTCTACTGCTAAGCCAAAACCCCTTGCTGGAGTCAAAGGATCCAGCTCATGAATATTCTTCTGGACCAAGAACTGAAAAAACCATTTCCATCTAGATCATAGCAGAATCAGTAGATTTGGAACGTGGATTTTTCTAGGCCAGGAAATATTCTATTGCTCCAGGGCCGAAGACCACTAGATTCCCTTCCTCGGCCGCAACGACCTGGCGACAGTGATCCAAGCGATGGTCACCTCGAGACTAGACTACTGTAATGCTCTCTACATGGGGCTGCCCTTGTCGCAAATTCGGAAGCTGCAGCTAGTGCAGAATGCTGTGGGCAGGCTTCTGATGGGTCTCCCCAGGTGGGAGCACATCCAGCCTGCACTAAAGACACTGCACTGGCTGCAAGTAGCATACTGAATTCACTTCAAGATGCTGGTTCTTAACTTTAAAGCCCTATATGGCCAGGGTCTGACGTACCTGAGGGACCACCTTTCTCCATATATACCCCAGAGAGCAATATGGTTGGGGTAACAAAATTGACTTACCCTCCCGGGTCCCAAGGATGCCAGGCTTGCTATTACCAGGGCCAGGGCCTTTTCAGTGGCGGCTCCATACTGGTGGAATGATCTCCTGGAGGAGATCAGGGCCCTGCAGGATCTTTTACCATTCTGCAGGGCCTGCAAGATGGAGCTCTTCCACCAGACCTTCAACTAAGGAGCCACCACTATACCAACAACTTTAATTACAGAGCCCTGGCCCTTGGTTTCAACACCTAGCCTGTGCCGCCCTTGTATGAGGCAGATCATGAGTAGAATGATTGTGAGACCTTTATCTGCACTCTTAAGTAAGCCATCTTAAATAATTAATCAACTATTGCCAGCACTTTATGAATCATGACTTATTTATAACTGAACTGTTTTTAGAGGATTTTACGTGATTTTAATTGTTGTGTGTATTGACCAGTGTAAGCTGCCCTGAGCCTGCTTGTGGGGAGGGCGGGGTATAAATCGAATGAATAAAATAAAATATAAATAAAATAGATTACCTAGCTCTGTACTGATTCAGTTTGTCTGTTCAAGTTCAGTGTTCTTCCTCTGACTGAAATTACTTCAAATTACAAGGCCTTAAAATCATGAAACGATGCAGTTCAATACTTTTTAAAATAACCTGCCGCGAAAAAAATTGCTTTGACACAAACCACCCTCAAGTCAAATAAGATGACAATATAATTACCAGTACTCATGCCATGAGAGGAACAACATCATTACAAGAAGTTCCAAATGCGCACTTACCCAGGTATGAAACACCTTCTTCGGGTGTAATCGTTCCATATTTAACCATCATCTTCACAAAGTCAATTAAGGTCTTCATGATAGTTATCAACGTTTCTTTTTCCTTGGCTTCTGTCTCTGGGGTCAGAAACAGAACGTTAAGTTTAAACATGCACATGATTGATTTGAAAATTAGGAGCGGGATAGGGCCACACTCAAAAGGAAGGAATTCATATATGGATTTTGAAAATGTATGAATCTTGCCTTCCTGTTTAATGATATCCAATGTGTTTTAGCAGCCCTGGATTAACCATTAAGCAAAATAAGCACCTGCTTAGGGCACCAAGGGAAGGGGGGCACCACAGAGGTCCCCCCCCCAGCTATCATGCCCTTAACTTTAGTCGAAGTTTTTTGTCATTGTCTTTATCTGCAATGTTCAAGTTTAATCTGCATTGTTCAAAAAAGTTTTCTTATTTCACCTTCAGCACTTATTGAGTCTGTCTTGTCAGTTGAGCAATGGAAGGGCCGAGGGACACCACTGCTAGAATGTGCTTGGGGCATCAGTTGGTCTTCATCTGGCCTTGTGGCTTAGGCAAAAGATTAGTAAACCAAATGCAAATGCCATGCCATATAAAAGCACAAAGGTGACTGCTTTGTATTGGTGAGAGGGGCTCTAAGGTCTTCGACAATGGGAAGATGAATGCAGAGGAAGCCTTTTACATAGCTTGTTTTGAATGAATCAAGTTACTTTCAGAATAAACTCAGCTTTGTTTTATTTTTGTACCTTTCCATCAAACTGGCTTTGTGCACAACTAGAAAAAGAAGGAGGGATTAGATTTATACCCCACCCTTCACTACCCAAAGGAGTCTCAGAACGGCTTACAATTCCTTTCCCTTCCCTTCCCCACAACAGATACCCTGTGAGGTAGGTGGGTCTGAGAGAGCTCTAAGAGAACTGCTCTTTCCAGAACAGCTCTGAGAGAACTGTGACTGAACCAAGGTCACGCCAGCAGCTGCATGTGGAGGAGTGGGGAATCAGACGTGGTTCTCCAGATTAAAGTCCACACTCCTAACCACTACACCAAACTGCGTGTCCTCCATTGCCTCTAGTCACCCTTTTCCTAGCCCTGTACACATGAGACATGGGGGGGGGGGGGGGGGGGGGGAGTGGGATCATGGACCCTGAGCCCCATCTACATCTGCCCAGCCTGACATCAGCACAGAGCTGACGCGCACTGCATATAGGGCAGGGTTTGGGGAGCGGCCTCAGCAGGGTATAATGCCACAGAGTCCACCGTCCAAAGCAGCCATTTCCTCCAGGGAAACTGATCTTGGTCATCTGGAGATCAACTGTGATAGCAGGAGCTCTCCAGGTGCTAAGTTCACAGTCAAACAAGCGCAACCCCCACATGTACTGTTTGACCCGTGGCTGAAGACAAATGCTGTAAAATAATGGTGCCCAATCTTTGGTATCCTACATCCCACCAATCCCTGTGTCAAAGGACCTGGGTCCCGCTGTGACAGAAACAAAAAGCTGACTTTTCCCAATGACATTCACACATTTACAGGCATTTTCTAAAATTACTGCTAGAATGCCAAAAGATCACAGAGGTACAATCCATGGCAGGCAGAGTCAGCCAGAAATGCCATGTCACACTTGCAGGTGGACACGGGGATTGAGGGAGAGCAAAGTCTTAGTAATTGTAAAGAGAACCTTGAGTCCCACCTGACTCTTTCCAGTTGAGAACTACCGCTCTAAAAACGACCTTCTTAGAGCTGATGTGTGACTCTGATCCAGGTATGGAGACAATTTGTAAACAAATTCATTGTATAACTTAGCTCTAAGGCATGTAGGTCACAGGCTGAACAGGTCTTTAATGATCAGAACAAGCAAACAGAATTGGGCCTGGAAGCCAAACAGAATGGCAATGCAATTGTAAGCCCACTGAATATGGACAGCTGCAAAATGGAATGCGCCGTCCTCTTCCTCCTTTGCCTGCCTTTCCATTCTCCTGCCTCCCACCTTCACGTCTTTGACTTTCTGTTCCTCCGCTGCTCTCCATCTTGTCACAGAGGCCACGGCTATGTGAAATCCACCCACCATCGTCCCGATAGCTATGCAGAAAACCATCAGCATGGTAGATGACTCTGGCACGTGTGCAAAGCCAGGGACCATCATCCAAGCGGAGAGTGGTGGAAACAGCCACTTCACCTCAGCAGCGGGCTCAGCTCAGCTTGGGAACTGTCACAGTCATTTGTTATAAACATATATGCCCCCCCCCAAAAAAAAAGGCCTTGCATTTGCCACACACAGCTGCAACTACAGCTTCATCTTTTGCATCCGGGCTGGCAGAAGAGAAAGCAACAGAACTGGGATCAGCAAGAGGGCCTTGTGCATAATGCACAGGTTTCTAATGCTGAAGTTTTTATTCTGGGCTATAATTGCTTAAACTATTTTTAAATGCTGCTTTATGTCTTAACATGTTTTAATCTGCAAGCCACCTCAAGCAGGCTGTTTGGAGAGGCAGCAGAGAGCATTTCTAAATAAATAAACAAATGAGGCTTGGGGACACAGGACAGATGGCTTCCCTCTTAGGACAAGAGTTTCATTAGGGCAAGTTTCACCATTTCTACCCTAGCTCACTTTGGCTGGCTGCTGAAGACGGGCATACAGGAGACAGAAAGGCAGGAGATCTATCTATCTGGCCCCCTGTCTGTTAATAGATAGACAGACAGACAGACAGACAGACAGACAGAGGTCATTTCGGGGGGGAACGCGGGGGAACGCAGTTCCCCCGGGTGAGGTGCAGGGGGTGGGGCACGACGAAGCCCCGCCCCCTGTTTCCGGCCGCCCCGCTTCCATCCCTCATTCAGCCAAAAGGAGGCAGGAGAAGAGGGAAGATAAGTTGCTTCCTCCCCACCTCTCCCCACCCCTGCCTGCCTGGGGCCAGGGAGGGCCTTGGTGGGGCTTCCTCGCACTCCCGCTGGCCTTGCAGGTCCACCGCTGGGCCCCTGATGTCAGGGGGTGTGGCATATGCTAATGAGTTATGCTAATGAGTTCCCCTAGCTCTTTTTCTACGAAATGACCCCTGCAGATAGATGATATACAATAAATAAAGCCTGAAGCGTTGCCATGACTGTGGGGAGGGTTTAGGACAAATGGGAGCAAAACAGGAAAAGAGTCTGCATGTTCAGGTGCTGAAGTCAGGGAACCGTATCCAACCAAGAATAATCTCTTCTGGGACGACAAGAATAATCTCACCAAAACACTAATACATAATGCGTCATGTTTACAATGTTGAAGTGGGCGTTTGCGGTCAACACTCCATTTTTTTTAACTGTGAGATTTCAACGCAGTCGCAAATGTTCTAAAAATGTTTCAGCCCACCCATAACATGATAGAAATTATAATAATAACACTTTAAAGCTAAGAACAGTAGTTTTGAAAACATGAAACTGACCTGAGTTAAGGCTTTTCAGTAGCTCATAAAAGTTAGGGAAATATTGGAGGTCTTCAAAATTATCCCCGGAGGGCAATTCATTCCTTCTTTCCAAAACGTTGGAGGAAGTCCATGTGTTATCCAAGGTATCATCTCGATCCATATTTTTTGGAGCCTCCATGCAAAATGTAAAAAATAGACATATGTAAATATGAGCAACAAAATCGAAAAAGAAACAAGCCCACATTGTATTCTGATTCTTTTTTCCTCCATGAAACAGGAGTGAGACAATGCCTTAAAGGTAAAGGTTCCCTTGCTCGAAAGCCAGTCGAGTCCGACTCTAGGGTTGCGGTGCTCATCTCCGTTTCAAAGCCGAAGAGTCAGCGCTGTCCGAAGACATTTCTGTGGTCATGTGGCCGGCATGACTAAACACCAAGGCGCACAGAAAGCTGTTACCTTCCCACCAAAGTGGTACCTATTTATCTACTTGCAATTTCTTGCTTTCGAACTGCTAGGTTGGCAGGAGCTGGAACTAGAGACGGGAGCTCACTCCGTCATGCGGCAACTTGGGTCTTGAACTGCTGAACTACTACTGACCTTCCACAGCCTGCAGTTCAGCATCTTAACCGCTTGAGCCACCGCAGCTCCTGACAATGCCTTACACCTGGATTAATTCCATTTGGATTCATGGATGCACAATGGCCACGAACTTACATTTGCTTTAAAATGAGATCAGACAAATGAATGAAGGACAGCTGTTATCAGCTCATGGTTGCTAGAGGGAACCTCCATGTACAGGGGCAGTAGACCCCTGCTTTGATACCCTGCTTGTGAGCACTGCAGTAGAAAATGGAACACAAGGCAATTTTTAATTTTATACAAATACTCAAGGGACCTATTGCAGATGACTGTCTGAGTGATTATCCTTCAAAACTTCCTTAATTAGTTCAGTGTAGAGGAGCTGAATTCCCTACAGCAAAAAACAGTATGTGTGTGGGGTCTATTCATTCTGTTCAGTAAGTGGGTCAAAACAATTAGTTGAGAAGCGTTACCATTTTTTCCTCCTGTTTTTCTCCAGCCTTACTGTCTATTCTGCTTGGAAGGTAATCAAGATCTTCAGGCGCCTTTTCCCGATCTTTTGCTTCATTAGCAATTAGCTGCTGTAACACTTCAGCCACCTCATCTTCCAGTGTGTAGGCCTGGCTTTCTGTGATCTACAAGAAAGAAAAAGGGGGGAAGGGGAAAGAGAGGACACTTCTCATTACAGTTCTCTGCAAATAACTCGATAGAGCAGCTTTTGAGAGACAAGGGGGGGGGGAAGTCCTTCAATTTCATCCCAATGAATTGGGCTGCAGTCTTGAAATCACTTCTTCTAACGCCCCCGCACTTCAATCAGCTTAATCCTGTTGGCTTCAATGGAACAATGGCATCATGAGTGGACTTTGGCCCAAAGTCTCTGCTTCGTGATGGAATCTATCGATGCTAATTATCTAAAAACAAAACTCTTTGTTTTTCGGGCCTTCCTTGGAGCCAAGGCTCAAGCTTGGAACTCCGTTTCATTGCCAGGGGATCGTCTCTGGAACATGTTCAGCAATAATAACAATTCATGACATGTTGCAGAGTGATAGGGTTACCAACTTCCTGATGGTGGCTGGAGATCTCCTGGGATTAGAACAGGGGACAGAAAATGGCCACTTTGGAAGGTAGACTGTATGGCAGGGGTGTTAAACATGCGGCCCGGGGACCGGATCAGGCCCTCGGAGGGCTTCTGTTAGGCCCGCAGTGGAACTGGCTGTCTTCAGTTTCTTTTTCCAGTTCTGCTGCTGCTGCTTCATTGTAGGTTTGCAGCTTACAGATACACACCGGAACGACATACTCAAGATTGCAACAGCACAGACAGTTTGATGCAGTAATTCAGAGCCAGAGGTGTCAGTTATCAGACACTGTTAAATAAACAAAATATTGCAAGAGTGCTGATGTTTTAAGCATGTTTTTATTTTAAGTTTTAAAAAACCCCTTTGTGTTTGTGTCCTTTATAAAGTTTATATCTCTGCTACCTGGCATTACATTTTATGACACACATGGCCCGGCCCAACAAGGTCTCATTAATGTCAGATCCGGCCCTCATAACAAATGAGTTCGACACCCCTGCTGTATGGCATTATACCCCACCGAGGTCCCTCCCCTCCCCAAATCCCCGCCTCCTCAAGCTCCACCCCCCAAATCTCCAGCTATTTCCCATCCCTACAGGGTGACAAATGCCCTAGCTTAGACCCTGCCCAATGGCTAGAGCGAGCAGATAATTCTGGGCTAGAAAAACCAACAGTCTGACAGGGGCCAATTCCAGGTTTTGGGGGGCCCAGGCAGAGAGTTCCCAGGGCCCTTCTCTCCTTGCCCCAGGCCCTCTTCTCACACCCTCCCTCTTTCCCACCCTCGGCATGCCTCCCTCTTTCCTGCATGTCCTTCCCCTGCCCATTTGCGAGCCCTCCCACCTCCAGTACTCACAGCTGCCCACGCTTCCCCCAGCCAGTGTTCCCTCTAAGTTGAGTCAGTGTGAGCTAGCTCAGAGTTTTTTAGCCTCTGGCTCACACATTTATGTCTTGGCTCAGGAAGGATGGCTCCAGAGCAAACTGATTTACGCAGTAGCCAAATCGCTCACTCACAACTTTAATGCCAGTAGCTCAGAAAGCAGAATTTTTGCTCCACAGCTTAGGGGGAGCATTGCCCACAGCCCCTTCTGAAATGGCACTTGCAATGACAGCATCTGGGACCGTGGTTAGTGTGGTGCTAGTGGGTGTGCAGAAGGGCTGCAGTAGTGGGCCCTACCAGAAGCCAAGGGCCCTGGGAGCTGCCCCACCTGAGGGTATGCTGATGCCAGCCCTGGGTCTGATTTAGCGCTCTGAGACTGGAGTTGTCCACTCTCTAATTAAACTTGAATGGAAGCTCAGTCTCCTCTCTACAGGCTTCTCCCCGAGATCAATCGTGACTAGCTTGAAACAGCCGAAAGTTTAATTGCACAGCTTGCAACTCAACTGCTTGGTTAAGACATCACTAATCGATTGGTGGGAAAGACTGGAGGTGGAAACGCCAGCCAGGACATCTGCTGTTTGATGACATATTTCAACAGTAGCAAGAACAGCTATTATTCAGGCCCAGTTCTCCGCTGGTGTAAATTAGTCCTAGTTGCTTGAAGTCAGTCATGCTGGGCCAGTTTATACCCACTGACAGCTCAGCCGGCATGGCTCCCTTTCATATCACGAGTTGTTCTATCATCCCCAGCAGCTTGGGGGAAGGGGGGCGCTTCTCCCATCCTGGCTGTTTTGATTCTCTTCTGGGCTTCTTCACCCTCATAAAGCCATTCGCGAACTTGGCAACTTGCACAGCACGGCCGAGCTTCAAATCTCAGGTTTAACTGCAGGGTGAGATTGATGTGAAATGAAACCACTACCGCAAGCCTTAGCTCTGATTCAAAGGAACATCCATTAATTTGATGCTTTCTTAAACAGTAAGTGGGGGCCAAAACAAATATCTAGGCAGGATATGTAGGCAAAGGAACTGATGTCCGGAAACTTACGAGTCCCAGATTTAGAAGCTTGGAAACAATTTTGTCAAACACTCCTCTGTCATTTTCCTCATATATTCTCATGGCAATCTTCTGAACGATATCTTCAGCAGTTAACGGTGTGCCATCGAGTTGATGAAGCCCATCGGGGTCATCTGAAAGCATGACAACGTAGTGCTCAACCTAACACCATTCAGTATTTTCATTTGAAACATTTGTTAGCCACCTTTCTGCCTTCCAGAACTCAAGGCGGCATACAATATAAATAAAACATTATGAAAAGCACAATAAAAAATGATAAAACCTATAAAAGTCACAGATTAAAAACACCAATTAGGACTGCAAATAATAAAACCTAAATCAATCAAGATGCAGTCCTAAATAAAGCTGTCTCCCAACAGTCTCCTGAAGACAGACAATGATGGGGGCCCAGACAGACCTCTCCCTGAGGAGGTTGTAGTCATGGGGCTGCCACAGAAAAGGCCCTCTCTCCTCTACCCACCAGATGACTTTCTTTGATTGGTGGGACAGTCAGGATGGCCTTTCCCTGTGAATTTAATTCCTGGGCAGGAACATATGGGAGAAGACATTCCTTCAGGTAACACCAGTCCCAAGCCATGTAAGACTTTGAAGGAAAACAAACAATACCTTGAATTGGGCCTGGAAGCAGGTGGGTAGCCAGTGTAAGGAGAGCCCTGCTGGATCATACCAATGGTCCATCTAGTCCAGCATCCTGTCTCACACAGAGGCCAATCAATTCCTCTGAACAGCCAACAAGAGGGCATAGAGGCCAAGGCCTTCCCCTGATGTTGCCTTCTGGCTCTGGGATTCAGAGGATTAGTGCCTCTATGGAGGTTCCCTTCAGTTGTCATGGCTAGTAGCCACTGACAGACCTATCCTCCATGAATCTATCTCATTCCCTTTTCAAGCTGTGTATTCCTGTGGCCATCACTACCTTCTCTGGCAGCGAATTCCACATTTTAAAGTAAAGTAGTATTTCCTTTTGTCTATCCTGAACCTACTGCCCATCAGTTTCATTGGATGCCCTCGAGTCCTAGTATTTTGGGAGAGGGAGAAAAAGCTCTCTTTGGCAACTCTCTCCACCCCATGCATAATTTTGTAAACCTCTATCATGTCCTCTCTTAGTCGTCTCTTTTCTAAACTGAAAAGTCCCAAACTCTTCAGTCTTTCCTCATAGGGAAGGCGCTCCAACCTCCTAATCATTTTGCTTGCCCTCCTCTGTACTTTTCCCAGTTCGCAATGAGATACGGTGACTAGAACTGTACACAGGATTCCAAATGAGGCCGCACCATAGATCTATACAGGGGCATTAAAATATTGGGGGTTTTATTCTCAATCCCTTTCCTAATAATCCCTAATATAGAGTTTGCCTTTTTCACTGCTGCAACACACTGGGTTGACACTTTCACTGAGCTATCCACTACGACCCCAAGATCTTTCCCCCTAGTGTCATACACTCCCAACAGTTTGCACCGGCCAATGGTCTAGCTGCAGCATTCTGTACTAGCTGCGGCTTCTGAACACTCTTCAAGGGTAGCTCCAAGTAGAGCACATTGCATTATGTGTATCTCTGTCCTGATACCAAAATGGTGGGACTGTGGCTGTGTTGCCAAAGACCCCAGGTTCAATTCCAGGCATCTCCATTTATAGGACCTCAAACAGAAAAGTGGGGAATGCCTGAGACTGGAATCCTTGGGAAGTTTTTCTCAGTCATATAGCACTGCTCTGACTCAGCTTCTTGGGGTTATATCTTGCAGATGTACTCAAGACCACTACTATCCTGCATTGGTTAGGGAGGGGTCATGGCTCAGAGGTAGAGCACCTTCCTGGTATGAAGAAGGCCCCAATTTCAACCCCTGGCATCTCCAGTTAGATCTCATACACCAGGTGCTAGAACTCTGGAAAGCCCAACAGTCGGCATACACAGTACTGAGCTAGATGGACTAACGGCCTGACTCAGTTTGAGGCAGATTCATATGCTCATTGTTTATATATACATGATCATTAGACAGAGTTGGATTAATTTTATTCTGGGCAATGGCTGGCAGTCACTTTCCTGTCTGGGAGATGACTAACTTCATAATGCAGTTTTAGAATTATTACCATGTCATTACTGGACCCAGATCCACTCTTGTCAACATGACAAATACAATGAATTGTTCGAGTGGTACAGTCAGCACAGAGGAGTCAACAAGGTGGGCACGAAAAATCAGAAACCCATGCTGCGTCTATCAAGACTGCCATGTACCTTTTGAAGACAGTTCCAGAGGGAAGCTGTGTTGGTCTGCAGTAGAACGTCTAGATTTGAGCCCAGCAGTACTTTAGAGACCAACAAGGGCCTTTTTTGCATTGGCATTTTGCTCTGCATTCATAGCTGTTCGTGGATTTGCGCTCCACATTAGTCTCCGCCTTCACTCTACTTTTGCCCTGCATTTAAATTTTCATTCTACATGTGTTTTTCATCATTCTGTTCCCAAAGTGTTTCATTACACATTTTCTCTGTGTTTTTTGATACTTCTTTTGTAGTGGATTTTCTGTCTAAATCAATTTGAGCACACACATGTAACATTTTTGGGGTACATGCTTTTGAGAATCAAAACTCCCTTTGTCAAATACTTCATATCTGATGAAGGGAGTGTTAACTCTTGAAAATGTGCCCTTTGAACACCTGATTGGTCTCTAAGGTGCTACTGCACTTGAATCTAGATGTACCTTCTGGGTTGATGAAGTTGTCAACAGACAAAAGATTTTTTAAAACAGAGCTTTTTAAAACAAGACAACTAAAAAGAGATGGGATAGACTTACAAATTCTTTAAAGAATGGAAGAGGTAATGAGAGAGAACGTGTTCTCTTTCAAAAAAGTAGAATTCAGTGGAGATTGCATTAGGAGCGGGGAAGCATCCCGTATGAATGTACTCTGAATTAATTTGCTTGACTGATTTCCTGCAAGCATGACATGCACAGGGAGCCCCAGTGCCCACAGTGGTTTCCCCATTCCCTTCAACAAAGGAGGCTGTTCTGCAAACAAACCTCTTTGGGAATGTGCAGTTGCCCCTTTTGTTGATGTGAGTGGGTCAGATGCTCTATGGATAAAGGAGAAAACAGTGTCCGAAATTAGCAATGACATAATCTTTAATTTTATGTTCTTTGGAAAAAAAACACCCTCAAAATAGATGGAATATACTGATAAAGGTAAAGGTAAAGGTTCCCTTGCTCGAAAGCCAGTCGAATCCGACTCCAGGGTTGCGGTGCTCATCTCCGTTTCAAAGCCGAAGAACCAGCGCTGTCCGAAGACGTTTCCGTGGTCATGTGGTCGGCATGACTAAACACCAAGGCGCATGGAACGCTGTTACCTTCCCACTGAAGTGGTACCTATTTATCTACTTGCAATTTCTTGCTTTCGAACTGCTAGGCTGGCAGGAGCTGGAACTAGAGACAGGAGCTCACCCCGTCTTGCGGCACCCGGGTCTTGAACTGCTGTACTACTGACCTTCCACAGCCTGCAGTTCAGCGTCTTAACCACTTGAGCCACCGCAGCTCCAGTATACTGATAAAACATAATGATAAATTAACACCCCAAATCCATGTTCAGGTGTTTATGAAATGCAGATGCGTTAGAAGAACCATCTTGCTGCCATCTACGGTGCTAATAGCATATGGAGATTACTATGGATTTGGAATGCATCCACAATAACAGACGGCCATTTGGCAACAATTTAAGATGTTTTTCGGTATCAAACTCCGCTCAGCTTCTGCAGTGCCCAGCAGCAACAGCATAGACCAAGGCTTCCTAAAGTTTGCTTCGAGTGAACTTCTCCAAGCTAAGGAACAAATGGTTTGAGCCTCACTAAATGTAACTAAAGTTGCATACTCAAGATGTCTTAAAGCAGATTAGCTACCCCTCAACACCACTCAGACAGGTGCTGGAAGCTGATGGTTATGCCAGGACAGAAGAGACCTGGATTCAAATCCCCACTCTGTTATGAA